TCTAGTTGTCACTACTTTTTGCTTTCCTAGGATATGTATGTTAGTTAGTTGCTCCTACTTTCACTTAGGCTGTTAGCTGTGACGTTGCTGTTTTGTGACATTTTATATCCTAGGTTGCATTGCATGGACTCAGCATGGAGCTTGCTCTGCATCCTAGACTACTCAGGTTTTCTTTTCTTTGGTAGAGTTCCGCTTCTTGGCGGAAGCATGTTTGTATCTAGGCGATCCATCACAGGCCGAGGATCGTGTAGCGGACCTAGGGTTGGCCTGTGAGACCAGCCCCTTGGCCTGTTCTCACAGGCCTGTGTTATATTCGGGGTAGGCCAGTCCAGGCCGGTACCTCTGTCGGTACCAGCCAGTCCAGTCCAGTCCCGTTTGTCCGCTGGGGTATACCCCAACCATTGTCTGTTTTCAGCCTCATTCCTTACTTGCACATTTTGGAGTACGTGCGTTGGAGTCTTGCGTGGGGAGTTGCGTTGTGCCATCTTGTTCCCCCCTTCTTCCTCCATCTCCATCTCTGTCACTAGCGGAGCACCACACCTGGTGGGTCCGCTACAATCTTGGTTCTGTGTCGCGCTATCCTTCGCGCCCTTCTTCTTCCCGCTCTAATCCTTATGTCGGAATACCCTGTCCATTTCTTCCTCCTCTGCTGTAGCCAAAGAGACGCGCCGTGCAAGAAGGAAATTCCTGTTACACGACGATTTTGATTGGCTACAACTGGGATCCGAAGGATTGACATGGCTTTCGCTGGGCGATTATCCCCGAACCTTCTCCTACCTCTCCCTACCTCAGTCCTAACCTTTCCTAGCATCTACCTCCTTTTCCGCAACTACAAATTCCGCAAGCGCTACCAAAAAACTATCTCTCAACTCATCAACCAACTTCTGGGAAGCAGTGGCTAGGTGGTACGTGTGAAGGTGCGAGTCGAAAAGTCCTGACGGGCTGACTGTAGTCTTGTCGGTTGTGCGTTGGATCGCCCGATGAACTGTGGGATCCAGGCAAGCCCGTGCAGAGACCAAGTCGGCGGGGTGACGATCGCTATGGTAGGAGTAGCACGTGACAGTCGGGATCGTCAGTGCCAGTGTAACGATAGAATCGAAGGTTGAGTGGATGTATGGCCTGGGGCCATGGTGGAATTTTATGGCGGATGCGCCTCTTTTTTTTCCAAAGTATAAGTCTTCAAGCGGGAGTTCCGTTCACATGGCCTTTAAGTCGAAATTTCTCGCCAAGATCGTCGGACTTTCTTGTGTAATTATCTTCTGATTTCTTCCCTCCTCTGATCTACGCCTCTTCTCCCCCACACCTTCCTCCTGCTATGTTCCTACTATAATAGGAGGGTTATGCCAATTTCTCTCCTCTCATTTGATATGTGTATGAAGTGGATTGTGTCTGAGAACTTGTGACAACATGACAGGGATGTTGATTGATTGATCAGATGAACACGGGATGGGATTGAGTAGTGTGTCGAATGAATGATGCATGATTAATCGTGCGCTTAGTCCTTGTTGCGATGTGGACTAACAGCCCCAGTCCGACTGGCGCTGACTTCCCGTGCCCCCGCCGCGCCCCTTCCCGTACAACGAGGAGAGGACACGTGTATGCGAGTGGGACGTACGAGAAGCCATCGCCAAGGTCGGCGGGCGGTATTCCTTCCCACCCGAGACCCGGTGCTCTGGATTCATCGGTGCCGGATTCGTCATCATCGATACGCACTTTCCGCCTTATTCGTTGTTGTTGCCGTTTAATGAGTTGATCGTCATCCCGTGGTCGGCAGTGGCGCCTCATTGGCCGAGCACTCTATGCAGCGACTGTCGCCGCAGTGGCCGCACTGAGCGTTACAGAGCCAAGGGCTTCCATTATCGCACATGTGGCAAGGACGAACACAAGGAGAGAGCCACTCGATTGAGACCCTCCACGCCGGACTCAGAGTTGTGTAGTGAACGCCAACGGGACCTCATCCGGAAACGGGATACTACATGTGTACCCTCTGCCTTTCATTCGAAACGAAGGGCAACGGCCAGCTGGGAAGTACAGCGCTACTTTTCGGATTAAATTTCCCATCGCCGTGTGCCCCGCGCGCGCCTTTTTCTTCAACCCGCGCGGCAACGAATCCCTTCTTACTGAAGTCGGACCAACATGGGGATCTCAGTTCTGTCTGTGTCCCCACACTCAAATTTTCCCAAAAATCCTTGGCACACCCCATCTTTGCTCCGACCAGAAAGCAGCACAGGGTGTGAGGTTGAGCATCAATTTCAATGTGAATTGCAGAAATCCGTGAGCCATAGATACCTTGAATGCACGTGGCGCCCAAGGCTTCTGACGAGGGCACGCCAGCCTGAGTATCATTGGATATTAAAAAAAAAAAAAAAAAAAAAAAAACTTGGAAGGACCGACCTTGAGTTTCAAGTATTTCCAAGATGTGTGGAACCACTGGCAGACCCAGACCCATAAACTACCAGCAGGTGCTGGTGCGCACCAGTAGACAGGTCACAGTAGCCAGGGGCAGGGCACTACTGGGGGGGTGTTCATACCACCCCCAATAGTAGTCCAAGCCTTTGTTTGGAAGAAAAAAAAAAAGAAAGACCAAAGAACCACCAAACAGAAAACGTCCTGTGTTTCCCAAAAAAAAAAAAAAAAAACGTCCTGTGACTTATCGTGTCTGCTCAATGACGGCAAAGCTCACCGCGTCCTAAAAACAATCCACTTGGCGCAACTGAGGTATCACTGCCTGCTGGACCTCTCCACACACACACACACACACACACACGCACACACACACACAGTCTGTGTGTGTGTGTGTGTGTGTGTGTGTGAGAGAGAGAGAGAGAGAGAGAGAGAGAGAGAGAGAGAGAGAGAGGAAGCCGGCCTGGCGACAAACGATATAAAATGAGCTGCTGAATGGAGCGTGATGATAAATCGGTCTAACATAAGAGATCCCTCTGCCAATGATCGGGAGAACTCTTCTCAGCTCGTTCACTTAGCATTACCATCGTTGTCCACCTGCAAGAGAGAAAGAGAGCGAGTTTCCCGTGCGTCTTCTGGAGTAGGAGGCTGCGAGCGCATCACTGCCGGTAGTGACCGACCCGCCCACCGACCTCGAGAGTCGAGACTAATCTGCCGACCGACCTGCTGTACGACTCAGCTGACGGGCAGGCGGGCCAAGACGTGTATGGGCGACCGGTCCTCCCTACCATTTCAGCTCTGGCCATAGGGGACATCGATCTCAAACTGACCGGCACCCGACCCGCCAGCCGTTGATTCAACTCCGCTCGAACGCTTATCGACTGGCCGGCCGATCTGATCGAGAGCTCTCACCGACTTTAGCGGTCTTGACTGGACATCGACTTGAAACTGGGCGACCGGTCTTCCATTCACAGTGTCACTTCCTGCGACCTTCTTCTGACCAATCAAGCGATTAATTAACTGCAGGAGGACTGGAGGGCTTTCGTGTGCGGAGCGGTCCGCAAGTGGTCAGCTGCGCGACACTTGTGTGTGACCAGGACGTCAAGGAGTCCTGGACAGAATCGTTGCGTTCGATCTACCGTCAGCTGCTACCTGTCCTCTCATTACTCTGTCTGTAAGTATTACGCGGCGAATTTACACCCACAATCATCATTACCATACCCATCATCATCTCCATCGACTCATCACCATCACCATCACCATCACCATCACCATCACCATCAACGACTGTCTTCCCCCGAATAGAACGTACGGTCCTTATCCCTGTATTTTGGACGGAAAGTTGCCCGCCAATACAGTTCTACGGACCGAACGTTCTATTCGAGGGAAGCCGGTCGATACGGCCAAAATGACTGTGCGTTCTATTCAGATGAAGAATGTAGTACTGACAGTAGAAATTCGTACCACAAAAAAAAAAAAAAAAAAAAAAAAAAAAGAAGAAGAGAACTAGAAATTCCAGAGGATGATTAGTATTGATTACTGCAGCTACTGTTAATAACGTACTGCTACTGCTACTGCTACTGCTACTGCTATGCTACTGCCACTGCTACTGCTACGGCTACGGCTACGGCTGCTGCTACTGCCGGTAGCGGTAGTTCCCGAACGTAATCCGTTAAAGATTCTGAAAGATACAGTCTGGGGGAAGATTAGGATGGCCCCGACGCTTTCAAGGATTTGGTGCAAAAACCGAGGAATGGTCCAAAGTTTGAAAAAAGGGTAGCTTCAGTGGAGTCACAAAAACGAGTTATAATTGCAGTATGGGGCATGGCCCACAGTGCAATTAGCACTCATTTTTGTGACTCCGGCGTAGTTTCCCCCATTACTATAATAAATCACCAACAGCAACATCACGACTGCAGTTACCTCTTTCGAGTCTTCTCTAGGAATGACAACCAAGGACCTGTTTGGTGTGTGTGTGCATATAGCTGTAAACGGTAGAAGAGGACAACAAACGAGGGGATATGACGAACTGTTTTGTCCAAGTTTCACTGACTGACTAATCAAGAGGCTGAACCCTCAGCAGTCTGCAGAATCACCTAACTGATTGCACTGTAAGTCTGTAAATGATAATCCATCTTAACCCTGGTTGTGATTAAGTACCTATCTATGTATATCGTCACAAACAGATATATATATATATATCTGTTATATATATAGATATATATATATATGAGGGTTCAGCCTCCTGATGAGTCGGTGAAACTCCGACGAAACAGTTTGTCACAGCCCCTCGTTTGTTGTCCTCTTCTCTCTCTCTGCCTACGGTTTACCGGGCAGTTCTATTTGTGACGATATATATACATAGATATATAGATATATATTGCTTAGCTTTCGGATTTTGACTGTTTTCTGCCCTGTATTTAGTGTATGTTTCCTCATGCCGCACTCAGTCTGTCACTTGCATGCATAATGGGTCTCGCTCCACTACACTAGACTCGTCAAAAAATCCGTGAGTGCTTCTAGAGATGTCAGAGGTCTAGAACTCTCGAAAAAAGAAGCATGGCTCCACTTGCTCCAGACTCAAGAACAATAGAAGCACTCACAAATTTCTCAGTGGTACATGACATGACTTACAGCCCTTCTACAGCCCTAGATGACAGCGCCAGCTCGTTCTGATGGTCAGGGCAGGAGGCACACTCCCCAAAAATCTGATGGTCGGGGCAGGAGGCACACTCCCCAAAAAAGAGGCCGGAGCGGGGGTAGGAGGGAGGACGCTAGAAAACCTGAGCGTTGCAGGCTGTGAACTCTATACAACAAATAGAGAGACTCAGTGCCCCCCTTGGAGAGTGAGCGCTTTCTGACAGACAGCTCTCCAAGGGTGTTGTCATGAATTCCAGTCTAGAGTAAGTGGACCGAGGGGCTAGTCTCAAAACTTCGGAGTCTACAGTAGTGGAGCGAGGCCCAATGACTGCTGCTGCTGCTTTTTTTTTGTTGAAAAAAATTTATTTTCTTTTTCCTGCTTTGTTCCTCTTTGCGTGGGTGTGTGCTTGTGCGAGGGTGTGGCGTCCACGGACCATGGGGCACCTGCTGCAACGGCCTACCCTCTTCACCCGAATAGAAAGCACGGTCATTACAGCTGTATTTGGCGCAATTTTCAATGCGTCCAGATACTCTGATAATGACCGTGACTTGTATTCTGGTGAAGAAGCTGGGCACTACACTATCCAACCATCCTTATGGACGGAGGGTTAGGGGGAGTGTGTTCTCTCTCTCTCTCTCTCTCTCTCTCTCTCTCTCTCTCTCTCTCTCTCTCTCTCTCACACACACACACACACACACACACACACACACACACACACACACAGAGGCCCATGTGGTTTGGCCTTTTCTTGAATTTCTTCCTCTTCTTCCAAGTGTTTCCTTGTGGTGTTCACCACTTGCTGCATGGTTTGGGCTTTAGGGCTACCGGACCACAATGCCTGGGGCCCTGGGGGTGCCAGCCTGCCAGGCACTGCCAGCCAAAAGAAAATAAAGGGGCAATGGTTCCTGGGTCACACCCAGCGTTTGGAATATTAGGCAACTTCAGCATTTTTCGAAACCGTTGCACTGGCCGTTTGACAAAGTTTGGTGCACAGTGCGTTTCGAGGCCCTGGAGAAAGGGGCTCGCCAGACAGGCTTTCGAAACGCGCAAAATCGACGCCGCGTGTCTTCGCCACACAGCCTTTTGAAACAAGTTTCGAAAGGTGTCAGATTGGCCGGTGTAGAAAGTCATTTCGAAGAGATGAGATCCTCCCGCCTGTCACGAGCGTTTCCTCAAAAGACCTCGAGTGGTCTTGTGAAAAATGCCCCACTCCAAATGGTTGATTGGCAAAAAAAAAAGGAATAAAAAAAAAAAGGGCCATTACAAGGGCCTGGCTCCACTACTTTCTACATGCACAAAAGACAAAATTTATGGTGGTGTATCTTACTATCTTTCCATGTTCTAGCCAAAGATTCACACTCTCGTTTTACATGCGTAGCATTCTATCCAGGCCCTAATGTGCATACATAAAGAAAGGCCCTGGTGTTCCAAAAGTCTGTGTGGCGAGGGGAGGGGAGGGGAGGGGAGGGGAGGGGGGAGTTCCTTTCAACGAGCAGCCTGAGCCTTTCGAAAAAGTCTGACACCTTTCGGAAAAGGCCTTCATTCGAAAGGCTGTGTGGCTCCGAGCCTCAAACTTTGCCAAGGTAGAAAAGAAGCGTGCGCGAGTCAAACTTTGCTGACCTTCTCTTTCTGGCTTGGCTGGCGCTGGCAGCCATTTTGGTCTCGTGGCGCCCGGCCTCCCAAGAATACGGTGTAGGCCCTGTAGGGTATATATTTGCATTTCGAGTTTGCGTGTGGAAGGTAGTGGTGGACCTGGTGGTGAGTGCACTTTGTTCTGCTCCTGGATGTCTGTGCCGGCAACAGTTAGCCCCTGCAGGTCGGGAGAAGCCCCCGCATGTTCTCTCGTGAACATGGTTCTGGCTGCTACGGGGTTCCCCGTATGCCTACAATTAGGAGTAGTGGTAGGTAGGTAGTGTGAGGTGAAATTGAGAGAAGAACATAGCTTTCATAAGAAAAAGAAAAAAACAGTTAGCCCTCAAAATGAGGACGCTCACACTAGGCCCTCAAAATTCAAAATGACAAATTTAAGTAGCCAAATGAGAGGGGAGGTAGAGTCCTGTATTTACAAGGACTCAATCTTGAGGGCCTAGTGTGAGTATGCTCTTAGTGGGGCTGCTGTCTTCAGGATGATGACTGTGTCTGAGAGTTTCCTGGGAATCCTGGGTGATGACAGACATTTGTGGAAGTGGCTCCCTGGCTCCTATGGTGGTGTTAAACCTTTTTTTTTTTTTTTTGGGGGGGGGGGGGGGACAAATGCTCCAGTCTATTCGTGGGGAGCAACACGTGCTGGGAACCGGCCCCAGCGTCCCATATAGAATTGTACAATGATTTGAAATACCAGGGCCATTACCNTTCACTTCACTCCACTCCACTGAGCTGAGCTGAGGTGAGCTGAGGTGAGCTGAGGTGAGCTGAGGTGAGCTGAGGTGAGCTGAGGTGAGCTAAGGCTGTCTCTTATACACATCTAGATGTGTATAAGAGACAGGGGCAAACCTGCTGGGAACCGGCCCCAGCGTCCCATATAGAATTGTACAATGATTTGAAATACCAGGGCCATTACCTGGCTGTTAACCTACAGTCCGTGTGTGTGCAGTCTCTGTTCTATTAGTGCCGTGAGTGGGCTATCCTCCTGTTTCGTCCAATGCATCCCGTATAGTATTACCTCGAGTGGACTGCCTGCCTTGCTGTATGCATTGAGTGCACTGCCTGCCTTGCCAGTGCTGCGTTGCCCCAAACTTCTGCGAATTGTTCCAATTTCAACGAATGTCCCAAATGCACCCTTGCTGCCTTGTTGCCTTGTTGCCTGCTGCTCATAGTACCGCGGCTACAGCCCTTTCAGACTACAGCTATATATATATATATCGTCACAAACAGAACATATATCGTCACAAACAGAACTGCCCGGTAAACACATAGCCCTTTGGGACATCCGTTGAAAGTGCTGCCTTGTGAATATTCCAATTACAAGGCCTTGTAGTTTTCCTGCCTTGTCAGTTCACCCTTGTGCCTACCAAGCCTTTCTTTTGTGTGTTTTTTTTTTTTGTTGGGGCGGGGGGGGGGGGGGCAGTAGACCTCTGATGGGTAGGTGTACACAGGGGTAGGTATAGAATGCGACGCTGTAGGCTTGACTTGCAAAGGTAATTTTGCCAAAAAAAGATGATACTCCCACAGGGGGACCTTAGCTAGCCAGGGTCCAGGGAATTCACAATCCATCTGCATAACCAAATGGCTGAGCAGTGAGTACTGAGGGAGTGTGCCTCCCGTGCCCGGTAATTATGGCTGTATCTGGACTGAAAGTCTGTGAAAGATGCACGAAATACGGCTATGATGATCGCATTGACCGGGCTTTCTATTTGGGTGTCGACGGTAGGCCATGTTTAGCATCCGACCTCCACAACCTGGGCTTAAAAAAAAAAAAAAAAGCAAGAAAGAAAGCCTTTATACCTGCGACCAAGCTTTTCTGCTGCGAAATTAAATTAAAATTATTAATTTATTATGACAGCACGGGATCGTGCTCAGCATTTTCCGAAAAGGGGAGCATAGCGCAGTCATAGCAAAATTTTCCCAAAGGAGAAGAAGGGGATAGAAAAGGTCGAGTGTGATTTGAGTATAATTCCTGCCTTCATGAGGCGGCAAGTTCCTTTTTCCTACGGTGTTTCTTTTCTTTTCTTTTCTTTTCTTTTCGTTTCTTTTCTTTTGATGGTGGAGGGTTGGGCGGGCGAGGGTGGGAGGAGGACATTGGAGTCTATGCATTTCGGGAAACAGAAGAACCCACTTCCTGTGTTTTACAATTAAGTTTTTGCATGCTTTCGCACTGTAGAACGCAATGCTAGTAATCTGAGTAATTATAAAGAATTATAATAATTATCCAGAGCAAGATTAAATTATTGACTCAATTCTTCCAATTTGTCTCGTAATCATCCTCTCTCTCTCTCTCTCTCTCTCTGCATCTCTCTCTCTCTCTCTCTCTCTCTCTCTCTCTCTCTCTCTCTCTCTCTCTCTCTCTCTCTC